GAGTCAACCCTGAGCCGGTGAGATTTGAACCGCTGAACTGCTGATCTAGCAGTAGCCTGCAGTGCTGCATTTAACCACTGCGCCACCTTGGCTCCCACCTTTTCCTTTGATGAAATTATTGGCCTACTCAGGACTATGCCTCAAAAAGCAACTCTATAGGACCACTTTTGTTCTCTTTGTATAGTGGTTTAATTTTTACTATTGCCTTAAAGTAAACATGGTGATTGCAGATGTTATTCTGGGAGACATATCTCTGCCCCACAATTTATTCTAGAAAAGCCATATGGTGGCAGTCCTGCTGCCCTGCCCCCACAAGTACTGTTAATCAACAAACCCCAGGAAAATCATTTGTGTAATCCTCCTGATGATCAAGTCCAAGCTGTTAGGATTAAGAACAGGTCCACCTTTTTACAAGGGTGATCAAAGGCGGCTTGCAGGACATCCTGTTCCCATCAGCACTTTCTGTAGAAGTAGCAGTAGCAAGAACTATACTTTTCAATCATGCATGCAGGAAAAAACACTGAAGCAACAGAAGCAAAATGACATTTCAGAAATAGTACTAACTAAGCTCGTCTCCACATAGCGGATTACTAAAATCAAGCCCATGATCTTGAAATTTTAGTATGTTTCTGACTCTAAAGGCAAAATTTTCTTAAACAATGTTTGGGTTTGAACTTTACTAAGGAGGCAAACCAGTAGTCAGAATCTATTTAGTAAGTACCACATTTAGAAATGATGTCCATGTTGGGGGTTTCATATTCATAGTAGAAATATGCAATAACATTTGTAACACTATCTTCTCTGCCTTACAGTCTCCCACCCTCCCAAAATATATTTGTTCATTTCAGAAATGCTTCAGGACTGGGGTTGCAGATCTGGCTGTTCATTGTAGCCATAAAATTGAGAGGAATTATTTGTTCTCTGATCAAAACTGATGGGCTGGTAATTTTCCAGCAATAGAAGATACGCAAGTTCTTAGCATGCTAGGAGCATGTACAAGCAGTACTTTCTAAATCAGTATTTCTCAACTAGGGCAAACTTAGGATACATCAACTTCAACTTGCAGAATTTGCCAACCAGCGTGTTGAAGTGCATAGATCTTAAAGTTGCCAAGGTTGAGAATCATTGTTTTAAATATTAGCACCATCCAATATTAAATCATTGAATGATCAATTTTAATTTGCTGATATGTTCAGGGACTTAAAACATAATTCATTGTATCTTTTCTTAACCATCAGGAAAAAGGAAAAAAGCTGTTTGGAATTCAGCTTTATTTCTGAATATTAGGGCATATTCTGTCCCATTCACTTTCTTCCTTCCTCTCTAGCCATATACATTAGGGATGTTCAACAAAATACTTTTGTTTCTTTCTTTTTTTCACTACTTAGGGGCCATAGGATCAAAACACTAGTGCTAGTTCAACAGGGAATGAATTATGACTCTGAAACCTGACATAAATATGTTGAACTATTGGGGAAAGAACCGTAATCATATCCCTGATAGTTGGCAATTTGATATCAGGACACCGGGTTCAATTTTCAACCATCATTAATATGTGTCTCTATTTTTGCATCCATACATGTGTGAATTATTGAGGCTGGTACAAGGGAAGAGCACAATTGGAAGTTGTGCTCTTATATATTGTGTTTGTGTCCTTCAGATATTTTCAGTCTTTCATTGCAGCAGCAGTGGTCCCATTGTGTTTTAAGACTGCCATTATTTGCCAATGCCAAAAAAGTCTTCAATCATGAGTTTTAATGATTATTGTTAATCGATCTGGAGCTCTGTTATTGGCTATAGAAGGCTTTCCAGAAGGCTCTGACAGCAAAATTGGGTCCAGGGGCGACGTGCACGTCAATCCGGACCTTGTTTCTTGGTTGCAGAGGGCGTTCTGGAAGGTTCTGATGGCAAAACGGAGGCCAGGGGTGACACATGTGAGAAGTGGCAAGTGCCCACAGAAGTGGGCCTGCAAGGTGAGGCAAGTGTTGGGGTGTATGATGCTTGGTAAGTAGGGCAGATGCACCTTCGCATCCCCCCCAGCTTAATTTTTACCACTGGACCTTGCCCCAACCCCTTCACCCTAGGATGGGCGTGTTTTTAATTACAGCTTAATTTGGGATAGTGCTTGTATTGGGCATACTTGTAAAAATCAAACTAGGACTTACTTTCAGGATAGGTTATATTTTCAGGGAAACACGGTATCTACCTGTCTGTCTGTCTGCCTGTCTCTCTGTCTATATCATCATTTTATTTTGAGAGTGAGCATCAGAATTTCATTTTTTAATGTGCACCAGTGTGCTCACAGAAAAAGTTACAATAATGGTCATCTCAGCTCATTTCACCTCACTTCACCCCACCTTACCTATCTTCTCATCTTATTTGCAGGCCAGTGGATGAGAGGGAAGTAAATATCCACTGCCATAATTATTAAACTACACATTGTTCCATTTTATGTCTATGCTATTTAATTTCTGAAAAATATCCTGGATGCAATTAGTCAATTTGGGATTGGAATTGTTGTTGGAAATCTGACTTTGGTTGAACTGATTCTTCACACTGTGTTGACCACAAGAGGCAGTGCAGTAGAGATGAAGAGTTAGAATTTCCTCCTCCTTCCTTCTTCACCTTTCAATCTGCTTGCTCTTTGCCTCTGTGACTGTTAACCTCTGGTGTTTCCTTCCTGCTTTTGCCTTCCTAGCATATTTGCTCTGTTGTTCAAGTAAAGTTCCTCCTCTGCTGGGATGTGCTCAAATGTCTTTCTTCCCAGTTATTATTATGCTGGTGGTATGCAGCTCTGAGTTTTCCTACTGAATCAGTCAATCTGTGCAGATGTGTGCATCTAAACAATGGATCAGACAAGGGACAAACTCATTGGGGCTGAATCCCCAATAAAAATAGTTCTTTGGGTAGTTTCTAGGACCAGGAACTGGATAAACAAGTATGCAGCTTGAATATGCCTTTGGCAAAAGGTTTTTTTAATAAAAAAAACTGATAAACTTCTCGATAGTGTATGGTAAGGCAACTTTTCATCTTGATTACAACTCTGTCTATTATGCGACATAATATGCATAAAATAAAGAATTCTGCACGTATATTATAAGGAATACCATACACAGTATATTACATTGATTTTTAAAGAAATACCCTGATTGCTAATATTTTTTTTGCCTGACTTCAAGGCTGCTGCTATATAAATTCTAATTCGCCCTGCTCTTCACTACCGAGGGGCTGTAGATTTTGGAAAGAAATTGGAGAGTCTCTTTTATTTTGGCTGACAGGTTACAAAATGCTCTCCTCCTGGACATTCAGGTTTATTTTAGTGATAGATTCAGAGCCTGTTTATACCAGCGTTTGGAACTTACCGAATGAAATTTATTACCAAAATTAATGTTTATTAATGTTCTAATGATCATTATAGAGATTATCATGCTAGATTACTCATTTTCCTAGTAATATCTATAAGATGCATTGGTGTAGTCAAAAGCTATAAAATTGGTGTTTTAATAGCATATATTTGGAAGAGCATTTTCCTTTCCTCAAATGTCTTGTAATCCATTCTTCCTTGTTCTTTCACAAAGAAATGAAAGAGACAGTGAATATATGGAGACAGTTTCATTTTAATTGTCATTCATGCACCAAAACAGTATTTTAAAAACTTCCTGGCATGATCACATAAAACGTCTGTTCAATGTCTGAAGAAATCTGACACAGCTCTTGTTAGATAATATATTCTCTGCCTGAGTTACAGTAAGCCTGATGGAATTTACCAGCTCTTCAAATGAATATATGAAGAAAGGCATTGGGTCAACAGTGATTTAAACAGTACAGCTGTACCCATTACCCCAACTTGATCGCATTGCTTTGTTTTTTCTTCTTTTCCCCTTGTTCAAAAATCCAGGTATTATTTATTTATAATAAATAAATGTTTTTGCTTTGGTTCTTGCATAATCAAAAGGTTTGTTGAATTTATTAGAAGAGTCAAGTATTTTTGTTGGCACATTTGCTCTGTTTGTATAAGGTTGCCCCTCATGGGAGTGTTTTCAGTTGGGTAAGTGAACACAAATGCATAGCTATCCACATTCTAATTATTCCTTGCAAATAGGATACACACATACTCTCCCCAGCCATATATCTGCAAATTAGCCATAGAACATGTATGCAACACAACATACTCACATTCTCTCTATGGACACTCAAACCTTACATATACATACACACTCACAAAAGCAATATTAGTTTCTATTCTAAATGCAGATATATCTGGTCTCTTTCATTCAGCCATATATACATACAAAATTTTCTTCAACTCTTTTTCACACTCATTTGGAGGCATAGTAGAAAACAGGTTAAACACATTCAATTCATTTCAATTCCATTTCTGAATTAGATCTGAAGGATTTCTTTCTTCTTATGTACATGACACCCAAGGCTATTGTGGTAATAAGAAGAATAAGCCCAATTGCAAGCAAAATCCACTGTCCGGCTTCTATTTGACCGTTGCTCAGTGACATCCCAAGGAAATTGACTTCTGATTCACCTAAGAACCAAGAAAAAAATATAGATGAATGGATTTAAGTAAACTTATCCTAGAAGGCATAGGATCAAACTAAGCTGCATTAAAAAAAAAAAAGCTAAGCAGGGTAGAAATGAGCATGGTATAGGGGGAAGAAGGAAAAAGAGGGCTTTTTAACTTTGTTCTCACTGTAGCCTTGCTATTTCACTGTCCACAATCAGCAGAAAGCTTAAAGGGTCCATGTGCAAACCTCCCCCTCCAATCCTCATTTCTGGAAAATACTAATGTTGAAACATTTAAATACCTGCGTAAGCCTGCCAGGTGTATTCAGGCCAACCCAGAGTTTCATTATTTTCCTTGTTCTTTTCGATGAGCCATCTTGTCAATGGTTCGAAATAGGTCAGCAAAGCTTCAGCAGACATATTGGGTTGCCCTGTAATATTTTGCATGACTTCAGGCCATGGCCTGCTGAAGCCCAGCTTCATGGCATCCCTGCAAAAATAAATTGTTTATAGAAGATGTACATGTGCACTCCTCACTCCCTCAAGAAATACAACATTGTTTTGCTAAATGAAGCTAAAGGCCCATATATACAGAATTCTGTATTTTACAGAAGTCAGCCAGATCCCCACTGGCAATCTAAAAAGTCCTTTGTGTATCATTTTCATTTTCATCTATCTATCTATCATCTATCTATCTATCTATCTATCTATCTATCTATCTATCTATCTATCTATCTATCTATCTATCTATCTATCTATTAGAATTTGTCAAACAAAAACAAAAACAAGACAGGGATGATAAGCGCATTAATGTACTTATGCATGCCCCCTCTACTAACCATTTAAGTATGATGTAAGGTCCACAGAAGTCAATTTGTGACTGTAACTGTGAAAATTTGTAGCTGAAACAACTGAATCAGGTAGAGCATTCCAGACTTTAACAAATCTATTACAGAAATCATATTTTTTACAGTCAAGTTTAGAACGATTTATGTTAAGTTTAAAGCGGTCAGTTGTTAGAATGCGCATTATTATGATTAAAACAAAAAAAGTCATTTATAGGTAAAACATTACTACGTATAATTTTGAATGTAATACCTAGGTCTGGCCTCAAGTGACACAGTTCTAAGTTATCCAAACTGAAAATTTCAAGTCTAGCAGCATAGGGAATTCTATTGTGTACAGAAGAGGGCAAGCCTGCTCAATTGTATTGATGTCAGATATATGGTGGGGATTCCAAACAGTTGAACAATACTCTAAGATTGGTGTAGCATACATTTTATAAGTTCTAATTAACAATACAATGTTTCCAGAAAAAAAACTGGAAAAATGCAAAAATAAATTTACAAATCTTAATTATTTTTTAGCAATGCTGTTACAGTGTACTTTGTCAGAGATAAGTAAACCTGGGTCCCTGACAAAAAGAGGGTCATCAGATAGTTCAATGCCACCTAGCTTATATTTGACATTCTGATTATGTTTACCAACATATAAGACACAGCATTTATTGATTGAAATTTGAAGTTGCCAAACAGATGACCATCCAGACACATAGTCGAGATCATTTTGCAAAACAATAGAATTATCTGTAGTATTGAATAAATTTACATCATTGGCAAAAAGAATGCAATTGCTTTTAATTTTGATCATATAAATCGTTGATATAGAGCCGGGATGGCGAACCTATGGCATGCACCCTACAGGTTGCACGTGGAGCCATTTCTCAGGACACATTAGTTCAGCCTTTTTTAAAGCCATTTTTCACCCTCCCCAGGCTCCAGAGGCTTTATAGGCGCCTAGGAAAGGTGAAAAGAGCCTCCCCCACTCCCCGGAGGCCCTCCGGAGGCTTCAGGAGCTTCCTTGAAGCCTCCGGAGCGCAAAAAATCCCGGCCTTATGGGCAAACTGGAAGTTTGGAAACGGACTTATGGTTTACTCATGGGACCGTTTTTAGCCCTCCGGAGCCTTCAGGCCTCTGGGGAGGGGGAGGCTATTTCTGTACTCCCCAGGCTCCTATAAAGCTTCTGGAGCTTGGGGAGGGCGAAAAAAGCATTCAAAAAATGGGAGGAGTGCCTGTCATGTGCACATTCGCACAGGAGGTATCGTGCATTGCATTCTGGGTGCGGCACACCCATGCACGACGACACTGCGCTCTCCCCACTTATGGCACACGAGTCAAAAAAGGTTCGCCATCGCTGATATAGAGCAAGAAAAGCATGGAATCTGACTCTGCCTTGCAGAACACACTGTTAACTGATGCAGGATTAGACAGTGAATTGTTGCCTATTTTGACTTTCTGCAGTCTATTAGACAGGAATGAAGCAATCCACTTGTGCAAAGGACCAGAAATGCCATAAGAGTTTAATTTCAACAGCAGTTTATCATTACTGTATTACTGTATTACTGTATCAAAAGCCTTACAAAAATCATTGTAAATTTCATCTACAGCTTGGCCTTGATAAAGGCAAGTAGTCCAGATGTTTCTACAGTGCAAAAATGGTAGATGAGTTTTTCTTAAAGCCAAACTGTTTGTTGGGTAGCAAGTTGTTTGTGAACAACAAACAATGGATTGGTTTATAATTGATTCCATAACTTTGCATGTAACACAACCCAAAGAGATTGGTTTATAATTTTCAACTGAACTAGGGTCACCCTTTTAAAAAATTGGTATAACTATAGCTGATGACCAAAGAAAGGCAGAGAACTAGTTCGAAACAATACTTCAAAAATTGTACACAAAGGTTCAGCTGGGACAGTAGCAAGCTTTTACAAGAAAAAAAACACATAAATCATCTGGTCCTGTGGGTAGCGATGTTTATAAATTACATAATGCTAATTCAACATTATCCATTGTAAATTTAATAATCAGCAATTTGATAGAACTATTTGTGGTCTGACTTGTGAATGAAGGATTGAAACCATTGCTATCCTCAAAAACTGAACTAAAAAATGAATTGAAAAGATTGGCGTGACCAGCATTGTCATTACAAACAACCCCATTTTGCCCTTTTAAAGGTGGAATCACTTGCAAATCTTTAAGTTTCAAAGTTAACAAAGTTGTAAAAGGCTTACATAGAATTTGAGTTTAACAGCTTTCCCTCCTGTTTTCATCCTTTATTTTATAAATCTACATAATAGATTTTCACCTAGAATTTTTGGTATTTTTTTCTTTCTTGGTTTATGAAGATTCCATAATTCTTAATGGGAGCCCTTTTTTTTGCCTTGTATAGTTTTTGTTTAACTAACCCAAATGCTGCCTTGCTATATATCTCAGCATTTTTGATACAATTTGCTTTTGTTTTTGTAACTGACATCCCATTTGAGGATACTTTTTTGCTATTAGACAAGTTTCTTCTTTGTTGACTACTGAAACGGCACAAATACAGAATATATGATTTGTTGGTGTTATTTGAGTTGGAAGTTATTTCAGTTGGGGATCAGCTGAAGTTTTGGGAAAGAAGCCAAATTAAATGGTCTTTCAGTCCCTTGCATGAGCTGGTTCATATTTTGAACTCTCTGCAACAATATATATTTGTTTAGTTGTGTGCTGGCAATAATTCAAAGTGTATCTTGTCAGTTTGAAATAGCACACACTGAACCAGAAAATAAAACATTTTTATCTGACAAATAATGGTTTAAAGCTTGATGATTTAAAACATCAGAATGAAATCCAAGTAAATTGGAAGACCAAATTACCCACCAGTAAATTGCCAAGACCTTTATCGATAACTTTCAAATTTAAAATGCTAGTTTTGTCTCAATTTGATTAGTAACAGTTCCCCAATCTTTGGAGCAACCTGTAATTAACCAAGACTTGCTAATTTAATTTTAGAATGAGGCAGAAAATTCTCTAAGTATCATTCAATAATAGTTCAAGACAATTAAACACCTAATAATTTTTTGTCCTTTTCTAAAATTCAGTCACCTGCCTTGCTGAGCCAACATTACCAGTCTCTTTATAAGGATGATGATGAGGGTTTAGCAAAAAATGTTTTTAAAAATTGCATTTGAAAGCTAATTTGCATGCATTTTCAAATCATTACAAAATCAAAAATTGTTTGAAATTCTCCATTTCAGTTGCCAAAAACAATTTATCATGTACTAGGGGAAAGCTAGTACAAACCTTAATATTTATGAAAATAAGATGCAAAATACATTGTATTAGAGAAATACGGAAACTATATGCTTAAAAATGCATATGTTTAGAGAAATAAATTTTAGTGCATAATTTTAAAAAGTTTCATTTGATGAATCTGAATTTTTTGCATATTTGCAAAAAAGAATCATGAGAAAATGTAAAATTTACACGTCTCACCCTAAGATACTCACCCTAAGATTTTCCCAGCCTCTTTAGACTGGTAAATGTCACATTTGTATAAAGGTCCTGTATGGCCAGCAGCTTTGCACAGAGCTTGGTGAAACTGAAATTGGATTATAAAACTGACAAAGTACCTGGAAGAGAAATTGAAGAGATAAAAGGGGAGGTCAAGACCATTCTAGGAAAAAGTGGTGATGTAACATTTCATAAGTCACAGAGGTACACAAGCCAGCAAAAAAAATCTCCTTACCTAACATATGGGACATTAGCAGGAATATGGAATTTTGCTCCTGCATCAAAATCTTTTTCTGATCTTGGTGTAGGAGGACATAAACCTTGGTATTTCAATCTACAGGTAAGGTAAATTGAGAGAAGATAATGTTCATTAAGGAATTTGAAAAATGAAATAGTTTCAAGAGCTATATTTACAGGATTGAAAAATAATTATTTTTCCTTTCTATATAAAAAACTAAAATGCCTTCTGAATTTCTTTTTCCTTCAGGACCTTTCAGAATCATTATGCACACGTTGCTGCAAAAACTAGACAAATGATTTGTTCCCAAAAGAACAATATTTTCAATGCAGGGTTGCTTTTATCAGTGAGATAGGCAGTGCATGAATGAATGAATGAATGAATGAATGAATGAATGAATGAATGAACGAATGGATGGATTTTTTTAATTCCCTAGAATTCCTTCAGCAAAAATAATACACAGGATAGGTTTGAAAGGGGAATACTTTTCCAAGTATTCTTTTAGGAAGCCCCTAAAGGTAAGGCAAAATTATTATATTTTGATCTTTAACTATATCTGAAATAATTCAGTTATGATTATGTTTACTCTCACTTCACTTTCTGTAGTTTTCGGCCAGACCTGGTTCACTTCTTTGTAAATTCTCAAGATTTAGTTCTGTTACCAAAATATCAATTTTCTTACTAGACAGTTGCAAATTAATCACCTGAGATTCCACCATTGTTGGTTGTACTCATTTTTTGGAATACGCCCATCAAATACTTTCCATCTCCATTGGTCGATCAGGTAGCCAAAGGGCAGGAAAGCAATCTTATCCAGTGCAATGCTCATCAGGTAGTTGATATCACTCTCTGACCAAGAAGAAAATGTTTTTTAACAGATCAAGGTACCTGGCAAGTCTTGTGCTTTACTCTTCTACTGCCTCTACTGTGATTCATGACATGTTTTTCCCCTTTCAGCCCCTAATCTTAATTGGCAAATTCTACAATATTGCAATATTTTAATAGTTGCATCTTTCTGTCTCACTCTGTCTCTCTCTGCCTCTGTCTCTCTCTCTGCTTTCTCTGTGTCTCTCTCTGTCTCTCTGTCTCTCTCTGTCTCTCTCTCTCTGTCTCCCTCTCTTCTGTCTCTGTCTATTTCTGTCTCTCTGTCTGTCTCTCTCTGTCACACACACACAATCCCCAAAAGCTAACCTGTCTGCAATTAAATATTTAATTCAAAATATCTTGCACTAATATTAAAAACCAGCATGGGATGAAAAACAACACAATTAATATTTTGTATTTGAAACATGCAAGATGAATTTGATTCAGAAATGTCTCTACCCAAAATCACAAATGAGTCTTAATGGGTTATAAGACACCATGAATCTGATGCATCAGTGCTGAACATTTCTTAAAAACTGAATCTGACAGATCTACCTTGTAATGAAGTATCCCTATTAGCTTACCATAGTTTTCTTCTAAATGTTCAAGCAGCTTGATTTTATGCAAATGCTTTGGGGTTGACACTGATAAAGCCAAAACATCACCAATGGCTTCATGGAAACCTGGATTGGCCCCATCACGAAATGAAATGGGCTGATCTTTATACTGCAAAAAGTATTGGACATGACCCATTTCATGGTGAACTGTTATTAAATCATCCATATTCACAACAGTGCATTGTTTTATCCTGAAACAAGAAAATAATAAAAATAAAGTGAAGAATCTCTTGAAAAGAATGGAATAACCAAGTAATTTCTCAGTGCTTTATAAAATAACCTGCACAATCCAGGTCCTAGAGAACCATAGGTAGAATATAAATTTATCTCACCTGGTCTAATTATAGTGGTGTTTATAATTACTTGATTACAGTCAGTTATAGGCTTCCTTGTTCTTTATAAGCTTAACTCAGAAAGATGCTTACAGAACAGTGTTTCCTAATGATGTTTGCATGTGAACTGAGCCACAAAGTACAACAAACAACAAAGATACACACACCCATTCGCTCCTGGGCCCAAATATAGTCAGCTACCTGGGCCAAGTTATCATATAATATTTGGAACAAATATCCCACATTTCATCAGTAATTACAAGACCGTAATCTCAAAAGGCCATCAAATCTCTTCCTAAAGTCAACCCAGAGAGATTTCTTGTTTTAAGAAATGTTTCAGAAAATTTATTAAGAAGCAATTTCTTTACAGACCACTGACATATCAACATGTGATATTGGAATATGAGATTAGTGTGATAAAGTCAGAAACAGAGCCAAAAATGTTTGCTGTATGAAAATAACATGAAAGCAGTTCTAGAGAGACCTGCAGGGTGAAAAACTGTATGTCACTCTGGGACATACTTTGAAATGTACAAACAGTAGGATTAATCCCAAATGTGACTCATGTCACCCTGGAGTATCAGTTCATATATAATTCCTAGTAAAATGCAGTAAGGGATACTGGTAACTAACAAACCATAAACATATTATTAGCTACAATGAGCCCTTGTAATGAAGTCTCCCTGATTTTCACAAACTTTATCCATTTAATTCAGTGTGCAATCACCTAAAGTCCTTGCGATTGTAGAAGTCCCAGGCTGAAGCATGACAGACCACTTCTCTCCCATCTGATGGCTTTTCCAGCATAGACTTTTTCCAGAACTCAGGTGGCATAGGGATAAGTCCCAGTGACTTGAAGAAACTGTCAGATTGTTCAAACATCTTTGTTGGGGTCCAGCCCTATGGAAAAGAGAGCAAATGTGCCAAAAGTTAAAAAGCTGGCAAAAGGGGGTATGAGAAAAAGACATGTATATTTTAAGACAGTAGCAAATCACCATTTCTGGCTTTGGTATTCTTGCTGTAATTGAAGATAATCTTAAATGCCACATAAAAACAGGAAGATAATTATAAAATATTAACTGTGCAGTGCAGAGCAAAATAGGACAGTGATTTCAAAACAGGGATAGCGTGCAGAACTGAAAGCAGGAAGGAGAAAGAATCTCCAAAAGCCAGATTTCTCTTGTCTTCTTTCCTAAGATTTGTAACTCCAGTTCAGTCCCACAAAAATGTGTCCATTCATAGGAACTGAAGTCAAATTACCTAGTGGTGGGCATGCGCATAAGTATCTGGGCAGGTGGGTGGAGCCTCCTGCCACAGCTACTACCAGTTCGTCCGATCTGGGCCAAACCGGGAGCAATCCACTTCTGGAATTACCACTCTATCTGGCTTCAAAAGATAGATAGTAATGGCCACACCACTTTTGATTTCAGCCATATGCCCGATACAGTATATATTTTGCTCCAGATTCCCATTGAAGAAATGTGGCTCAAGAGAGGACCTAGCTCCCCAGTTCTGCTATATTTTGATAATTTATAACTAAGTTAGATAGACTTCATTTTTTGGGGGGGGTGTTGTAATCTCTTTATTGTTTTGCATTTTTTAAATAAAATAAACAATACATGTTCTTTTATCTAAAAACAAAGTACTCTATTACTTCATCTCCTTTTTTCTTATACCCAGAGTAACATAACTAGACAAAACTAATCTGTGTAAGAAAAAATAGATTTTCTTAGTCTAGCTTAATCACATATTCAGTGAGGATTGTAATGGGCACTACGGTGACTCGGGTTTTAGTTTGGAGAAGAACCTGAATCATTGCAGGATATACTTCATTCTTGATTACATCATCTAACATCATACAACATCTAACATAAGAACACAAGATACATTCTCGGGGGCAATTTTGACTGTGGGAAATCCTCCCAATGGAGATTTGTCATATTTTGAATTTTAAAGACAATTTCTGAAAGAAGTTATTATTTCCCTTATTTATGAGTTGCAGTTGGGCAAATTTAATTAATATATGGTTTTTTTTTCTTTTGTACTAATCCAGATATATTACTGCTCAAAGCAGATTCATGGAACATAATTCAAAAGATATTTTAGGATACAACAGGAAGCAGATTTGGAAGCAACAATATTTAATAGTACTAAAGCTCAGATCCAAATGAAACCTCCCTTCCAACTTCCTGTATACAATAGGGAAGGAAGAGTGAGTGGCTGGATTCAGATATAGAATTAATGTTTGTCTGAATTTGGCTTAGTACAATCCCTAAAATCAGCTAGTGTGGATTATTCACTAAAACATGGCAAAATTTCTACATGATGTAGAAATCCAGAATGAATCAAAAGCACATATATTTGAAACGTGATCTTAAGTATTAAGTATATACTCAAGTATTAAGTATATATAAAATTGAAGAATATTGGAATGTGATAGCTTAGAGCTACACCATAAGCAACTAAAAAAAGGGCAACTAGTTTTATTCTGGAGAGTTTTTAAAGAGGGAAAGAATTATGTTCAGTTCCTATGAGAAAACATTGCAAGTAACAATGGAATAAAATCTAGTATTTCAACCTGCTGTTTCATTGCTGGAGTAGCATCCACTTTGGTAGCATCAGGATATGGCATAACAAGGTCAAAAATGTTTGCCCATGATTGTGCCCACATGTTACCTAAAAATAAAAAGTGAAGTTGGTTAATAAGTAACCAGAAAATAAATAGGGAGGGAAATAAATAAAATTACAAGATGAGGCAGTGGGGGAAGATCTCTATGTTTGAAGAGGAGTTAAAAACTAATGAAATGTTTGGCTTATGATATCCAGATAGGTATGTGCAATGCTGTTGCAGCTGTCACATACAAATAGTTTTATGTCCAATTACATTTGTCCCTTGAGTGTTCATATAGACACATTATTTTTTAAACATTTATTTGATTTTTTTAAAAATAGAAGCAATCTATATTTTACTTCTCTAAGTACACTCAGATTACTATATTTGGGAAAAAATAGTGGGAATTATGGAGAACAAAAGTTGAAAACTACCACCTACCAATTTCAAAGGTAAATATCCCATCTATGTATATTGTGGACTGGCTATCATAGTATTGCTACTTAAATTGGGCTTCAAAGGAAAAGGATAAAATGCAACTGGATCATGTTTTCTGCAGCATAGTTGACATGTTTTGACTGTGTTCCAATTATTACTTGATTCTTCAAAGCTTTATCTCCCCCTAAAACTCTTGCTGTAGAGTACCTTAACCTGGAATTGTATGTCCAGGTTGTGAATGCATTTATACTTGTGTATAACACTCATGATCCTGAGTCATTGTTCAACTGGGATCTTGCCTCTACCACTCAGTGTGACTGTGGTGCTTCTTGACAAAATATCCATCACATTGTGTCCAAATGTCAATCAAGAGCCTAAAAAGGTAAAGGTAAAGGTTCCCATTGCACAAATTTGCTAGTCGTTCCCGACTCTAGGAGGTGATGCTCATCTCTGTTTTAAAGCCAGCTGTCCGAAGACGTCTCTGTTCTCATGTGGCTGGCATGACTAAAAGCCGAAAGTGCATGGAACACTGTTACCTTCCCACCAAAGGTGGTTGCTATTTTTCTACTTGCATTTTTACCTGCTTTTGAAGGTAAAGATTTACCTGCTAGGTTGGCAGAAGCTGGGACAAATAACGGGAGCTCACTCTGTTGTGCGGTGCTAGAAATTCGAACCGCCAAGCTGCTGACTTTTCTGATTGACAATCTCAGCATCTTAGCCACTGAGCCACTGCATCCCTTGATCAACAGCCTACATCGGCCCAATGTCTGATTTTTTAAATTGAAGTACTACAAGTCCATGTATCTGTCATACATTAAATGAATAAATCCTGAGTCAAATTTTATGGGGAGCATTTTATTGGTTGATGGATCCCTGCCTGCCTTTGTTATAAAGCTCTTAAGAAAAACTGAAAAGCAAAAGCTGATTACTAAGTTCTGTTACTACTTCCAACAATTAGAAATAGGTCTCCAATGGACCAGGTCTGCAAAACTTAAAAGAAATGTAGGAAGTTTCTGGGGATTTGCTCAGTATACCCATTGTCCAATGGCTAGAGCAGCCCTGAGTGGAAAGACTTACCTAGCAAATGAGCTGGAATTGGGCCTCTGAGGTTGATGCGCTTTTCTCCATATTTTTTGTATAGAGCCCGGCGTACATAAGCATGCAGATTGAAGTATAGTGGTTGAAGCTGATTCCAGATGTTCTCCAGGTCAGTTTCAAAAGTTGGAGTTTCATAAAGAGATCTCCAATAAGCACCTTTGTCTGCATGTCCTGTACATATACATACATATATTGTGAGCCTAGATAAGCTCTTTAATATTATGAGACAGCATATATATGCAAAAATATATTCTACTCCTTTTCTCATATAACTTACACCCATATAGCAAAGAGAAAAATACTGATTCTTACCCCTTTATTTAAACTATGAAAATAGTACTGATTATGAGGCACTATAGGACAGTTTCTGACACCCAAAATCATTCATCCTGACCAGGCCTAACATTTTGCAAAAGTAATATGCAATATGTGGACATCTAGATGAATCTAGTCTTTAACAAAACTGGCTAATTTGTATAAAATCATTACTGTGAAATGACATCTAAGAGTATATGCCATTTTTGTGATTATTCTATGACAGACCGCTATAGCAACAATTGAAATGCTTGAAAGTGTGAGCGCAGATTATTTTCTTTTAGGATAATTTTTATTTTATTGATATATTATTTTATATATTTTCCATGTTTAATACTTTTTATAATTCAAGGCAACAAATATACATAACACTACTTCTTATTTTTTTCACAATAACCCTGAGAGGTTGGGCTGAGAGAGAGAGTGATTGGCCCAAGATCTCCCAGCTAGTTTTCATGACAAGGGTGGAACGAGAATTCACAGTTTCCTGAATTCTACCTTGGTGCTTTATTGACTTGAGCAAACTGGCTCTTCCTATACCATCAGTATTTCCACAATAACTCTAGCTTTTGAGTTTTATTTTTAATTGTGTTGGTTCTATAGCTTTTGAGTCATCACCTTTTCCTTGATCACATTATTAAATTTCTTTACCATTTAATTGGACAGCTGTGTTGCTCAATTGTACATATCTCTCATAGAGTTTTCGGATTTTCTTTCCTGATACATCCCGCCAATCTTTCCAGGCATTAAGAAGCTCATCATAATCTCTTGATGTAGCCATAGTATCTGTAAGGTCTGAACAAGGAATCAGTGCACATATTAATAATGTTTATAATTAGACCCTTATTTCCCAGCTAAACCCTTTGCATTCCCCTCATTGTGCATATTTTGTATGGGAAGAATGGGAATTATACTAACAGATTTGAAGGCCACTAAGCTGAGAGAGGTCTCTCTACATTTTAAAAGCTGAATTCTTCTGTATACTTTGTTCTTCTCAAAGAGAACTAAAGTGCAGTGAAATATATTCCCCTACATATTTTAAAAAACGCTAACAATACAGCAATCTATATCCAATTCTGTTTTCATGAACAAGATGTTTCTCACAAGCATCAAAATAATAATTAGTACAACATTATTTTCCCCAATCCATTTCTTACTGAACATCTGGGTCACTGTTCCCTCTAAGGTGCGCGGCTGCGCGGCCGCGCACATGGCAAGAAACCCCCACGCAGAGGTTTCTAACTGCCGCGCAGAGGTTTCTTTCAAAGCAAACGTGGGGAAGTTCTAGCCGCCTGCAAAGGACCTCCCCAAACTTGTTTCAGCGGCAGCTCTCAGCCTGGGCGGCAGCGTCACACAG